GAACGATTGAATTCTTTCAAAACCAGCAAAAGCCGCCACTACACGCGGTACAATTGTCATGACCATATTTGCTGGGTGGGTAATCATACTCAAGATTGCCATGGTTGGGAATGCAGTCGTGGGATCCAGCTTAATTCCATTGGCCTGTGATATAGCGGCAAATAGAGCCAGTGTAATCGCTGGAGAAAATATTCCCAGTGCATTGGCTACATTCTCGTTAGTACAATGTAAGTATCAGGACTTATACATCACTGTTGACTAACCGGATGCGTTGTAATATACCATGACCCATCGAAGCTTCGAGGCCACCCATAGTTCTTCTTTTCGAAGTTGCTGCACTCGGTAGGTAAGATTATGTTGGAGTCCAATCATCTTAACGACCTTCATGGAACTTATCAATGAACTGGTAGCTCCTATACGACTTTGCGTTGCAGTATTCCAAGCTTTTTGACGAGGTTGTAAATGCTTCGCAACAAATCGACTCATGTGTGAACATACTAGCAAACTTAGCATCATGTCAAGAGATTGGATTAAAGTACTGACAATAAATAAGGAAAAGTGGAAGAGGCCAGATCCAGCCAACTTGGATAGCGAGAAGCCCTACACCTATGAAAACTTCAATGACTTGAGCCCAGGTCTCGTGAACCATTTCAGCGATTCCGTCCAGACTATCTGCATCTGTACTCATAAGTGTGGTCGCCTCGCCATTGTCATAAGCAATGCTGGGAGACTCCATAGTCTTTGCATGGATTAACCCCACAAGAGCCCCTCTGGTAATGAGCTTCAATCTATTTATGCGGTGCTGGTACACAGCTGTTGATAACTGAGCGTATTAGCGTGTGAAAGGAGAACAGAGACTGGCACTTACAGCAAGGCCAACGTAAATAGCCACGGCCGATACAATAAGCCAAAAACCACGGCTACTTTCTTCTTCGATAGAATGGGCCACGACATATTCGATGGACTCTTTTATTAAAAGGGGTTGAGAATACCGGAAGGCGATCAAGGATAGTCGCGGTACGACGGCAGCCAAAAATGGGTGCTTCAAGCATCTCATCAACGCCAAAGCTAGGCTATACTTTGTCTCGGGCTTGGCTAGTTTTGTGAGAAGAAAGAAAACAATTACTTTGAGTATCTCGACTAACCTCGACGGGACCATGTTTGAAGCATTTCCTTCCTTGTAAACTCTGGCTTCATATCTTGACTGAGAGGTGGCAAATCTTGGTCAATGAGAAGATTTGTGTATCCTTGAAACAAGATGGGGTTGATCCAAGTGTATAGCACCCTATTCAGCACGCCATATGATTCTTCTGGGGATTGAAGATTGCTAGAGTTGCTAAGTGAAGGGCGTTTATCACAGCTCTCGAGTATTAAAAGAGCTGAGTGTATGACACACCGAGCAAGTACTGGCTGTGAGGCTCTAGAAAATGCCCAAACTTTCGGGGGCATTGTAAGAAAAAGAACATCGCATATGATTGATGGCACAAAATAAAGAATAGCTAAATCTGACGGCTTCAGAGATCGCTTGATCTCAAGCACCAAAAGCAGACTCAACCCAAATGCAGCACCTGATGAAGCTAGTAGAGAGATAACGAGAAGAATTTCACGCTTCGCATGTACGGCAACAACATAAGCCAGTAGAAGAAAAGACAACATTATCGCAAGGGTCTATGGTCGTTATTGGTATTGTGAGTTAGGCTATAGAAAGGAGACGAGTACTGACTGCTTTTAAGCGTCCTTGCCATCTCAAGACATTTTTTGCGCGAGAAGAACGCAGCTGCCAAATTTTGGCAGGCAAAAACAAGATAAATACTACGGCACATATTGCAGACATGACATTGACAACGTCTGAAGACTTCACGAGATTGTCTTGCGAGAAATGCCTCATGAGAGTAGGTTCGAAATTCAAGGCATTCTTGTGCCAGAATAAATTCATGACGGGAAGCTGTTCCATGTACTCAATAGACTTGTGACCTGATGGTAATGAGGAGGTCAAAAATATTATGTTTAAAGCGCGCCAGAGTAGCTACGGCTGGAGAAGGGATGAATGATTCCAGATACCAAGTTGTCATGTTGATGTATGAATATCAATCTGCTTATTTGGGTATACCACATTAGGCAAGGCTTCTCGGAATCCGCCTCAATGCTGCAGCTGCAGAGTGGTCTCTCCTCTCCAAGATAAGCTGTGAACCCTCAATAAATGCTATTAGAGTAATCGTGCAGCCCGGGCCCACTTATTTCATGCACATCCCCTGGCAGCTTACGGCTCGGTAACCAGATGCGAATCGGAGACTATGTGTTTCAGATGTGTGTGTAAACATGCAGACATTTGAATTGTATGGACGACCCGAATCTGGAGATCATTCCATTTGAAGGCGTCCTCCTCTATCTCTAGTATTTGTTTCCCTACACTACAGCATAAGATTGAATTGTGTGAGTAAAACGACCTGGTTGGTCCCACACAGACCAAAGGCTGCGAGATCAGAATTAGAGCATATACCTGCGCATAGTCCTCGTTGTCACATTTTAGCTCTCGTCGTCGCCTATCAGAAGTTGAAACAAAATTCAATTTCGAACTATATTCTTAATTAATAAATGATTAATATCAGATATGTCAGGTAATAATGAAATAAGTGTATAAAGAATACCAAGGTAGGTGGTCAGTGTAGTGACGTTAGGTCACGCCTACTAAGATCTAGCGAGTGCGCTAGGCTCGTAGCCGGTTGTACAGGTATGTAGGTAAGGATTGCTTCTTCCTGTAACCAATCCTGCTCCCTAAATAGGATACAGCCTTGGTAATTAGAACTTACATAGCAGGCTCTACATTATCTGTAGTCTGATCATACAAACAGTAAATAACCCAATGTCAATATAGATCGAAAACAAAAATATTAATTCTTCGGGGTATGATGATTCGACACGAAGTTTAAAGTTAATAATGAATCTCGATGATTCATAGGAGCTAATCATATGCCCTGGTAACCCTTGAGTAGATCTATTGTAACTTAAATTACATTAAACACTATTTGATTCGTTCCCCAACTCTTCCTTCAGTTTCTATTCTCTTATTCATGATCAGTTAAATCAGCCTTACACGAGCCTAGACTACTCTATTAAGATCTGTATACCTGTTCTCGTTACTACTTTAGTCTAACTGGATTAAGTCCATCGGCCTTTTAACAATCGATGATCGCTTTCCAGATGAACTTCGCTCCTTGGGAGCTTATAGGTGATATGCAACCTCCCAAGAGCTCACATAAGTTCTAATTTTTTTCAGAAGTAGAGTAAAAGTGGTGATGGCTTTGTTGCTGTTGTTTGCCGAAGGTGAAAATCGCTAAAGTGGCTAGACCGGTGCTCCTTGTTGTTCTGGTGTCGATGATTAAACTAGCTACAGCGGCTGAAGGACTGAAGGTCACGGCAATTATTAGTCCATATCTAATCTCTTGATGCCGATGGAATCATATGTAATTGTCGGCTCCCGTTAGTGGTCGATTATTTGTTAGTCTGGGGAAGAAACAAGCACTTCTGCTGGGGAAGGAAGTCACTTATCACGACAAGACACTTGTATTTTTGGTATTAAAACATGAATTATCCAATCAGTTTTGAACTGAGTCAATGACTTTTAAGCTTTTTAAAATCTATTTTAATATCAGCTTATGATATGGTGGGTATGCATCGAGAACTCTATTCAGACTCAGACTTTAACAGCTCAACCTCAGCGCGTCTCAACATGTCAGAAGCAGTTTCCGGAGTGATTTTCTCGTGATGGCTCGGCAAGTAAATCGTAACCACCGAAGAGTTTTCGGATCGAGGAGCGCAATAAGGGAGAGTAGAAGTGCAAACGAAAGTAATTGGGTTTTGATTTTTGTTCCGTGACATCTAAAGGCGCTTGGTGGGGACCCGAAACAGCGGATGATATGCATTAGCTTCAGGCCCTTCATCGAAATAACACCTATGAACACATACCATTTGGAAATAAATATCCAAAAAGCTCATCACTACTTCGGGCCAAGTACAATACAGCTACCGATGGAGCTTTTCGATCTGTGTGAGGCCTACCAGAGCTCTTGCACGAGCTTTGGAATAACAAGATCCTCAAATGATCAGACTGCCCACCAAGGCGTAAAGATCACGAATGCATCATTTTTCCATAAAATGCGTTCATTCTTTTCCACTTCTTGCTTTCAGATAATCGTCCGAAAATGCCTTACACCGTAACGATTTGAGATGGTAGTGCCTTGGAATCAGAGAGGTCAAAGTTGAGCTGCTTGACGATTTCGCCGATATTTACTAGGTAAAATAAATTTATGAGGGTAAGAAAGTGGCACCGTAAGTTCAGTGATGAAAGTTCATCTTTGTCTCATTCCTACGCGTGGATGAAAAGGAGGGTAGATTTTGTTCGATAAATGAGCCTGTCGTATTGGCTCGCCAGTGCATAACTTACGGGTCTTTATCCGTAGGAAATACATGATTATCAAAACCCACTTGATTTCAAGCGGGAGCTATCTTCCATATTGCCACATTTATGATTACTTGCGCACGTCATCCATTAAATTTAGTCTCAGCCCGCCACATTGCACTGACAAAGTTCAGAAATAGAGAAAGCACAGAAAATTCACAATTATATCATTAGTTGATGAAGAGAAGAGGCCACAAGGAGATATTGGCCGTGTGAATGCCGAGGCCGCCAATGGAGGAATATCTCAAGGTCTTAGTACTAATGGTAATCATGTCACAGATCTGTCACACAATGTGATGTCTTTTAATTTGCAAGAAAACAGCGCAGGAAAGCTAGAGAAGAGCTGAATCCTACGTTCATTGAGCATTTCAATCTCCGTCCAGCGTTCCAGGAATAGTTGCCTCAGAACGGCGACACGAATTGACGCTTACTTGGCAAGTTACTCGATGAAAATGTCATAGCATTACCATGACGAAGGTCCTGCTATCGTAGGTGATCTTGTCATTTTTCAGGCTATTTGAGGTGATTTCAATGCTCGCTTATGAATGTGGACTACTTTATCAAAGCAACTCATCCGAGCACTATTCTCGATCTGGAGCCCCTTGAGCTTAAGGACGAAAGATTATCCGCATGGCACGACACTTTTGTGGACGTACCAACCCCTTTGAAATGCAAGTACGATCGCAATGTCAATCTTTCCGGCGCGGAATTTAGCAGCATAGAGGAATGTACCGCAGCTCTAGCCACTATCATGATGTATGACAAATGTGGCTTACTGCAAATGGTTCTTTACCAAGATGGCCGCGAAGAGATTCGAAAACCAGCACGCAAGATTGTGGGCGAGAGAAAACTTAAGCCCTTGATTGAACTACTCATGCCTTGGGTTCCTCAACTTTTTTCTAGTTCGTTCACGGAGAATGACTTGATTGATCCAAGGACGTTGAGAATAATGTGTGATGCGGTGGCCGCAGTTGCAAATAACATGGAGATGCCTGAGATTGAAGCCGAATGTGTGGGCCCTCAAAAGATCTACAAGTCTCTCACGCGCCTGATGATGGATCTAGGAGAGGCCATGGTAAGATGTGAGGGTGTGGAAACTTATCTCGCCACCAGTTTGTTCTTGTTTTTGGCAGCGGAAGAGATCTATTCCCATTTAAAGGAGTCAGATCAACTCGCTCTCCGATCTATCGTAGCGATGTTCCTCAGAAACTATGTTGCTTCACTCTTGCTGGTTGAGTCAATAGATTCTCAAACACACAACCCTAAATTGGCAAAGGTGATTGCATAAATCTTCCAGCTGTATCTTGTTTTTTGGATATCTCTTGTTTCAAATGACTGCTGTTGTCTGAACATCGTGGCTGTTGCAAAGTAAATCTGATCTATGAACGTTGTTGTCATACATACGAACATAGCTACACTTGATTCGCACGGGAAAGATGTTAAAACAGGCCGGCTACCTGCAGCTGAAACGGCATTCTATGCCTGGAAGTTAGTTATCGAATTATAGTTCAATATAAAAATGATTTTAAAGAATTTTGTTGGCGACTTGCAAATTCCTTCATTTGTGCTCCCTTTCCAACCCTAAACCATGAAATTGCTAATAAATACAATCACAAGAGAGTTCCTAGTGTGTAATGTTTACACCAGATTCTGACATAACATGATTCCGTAAAACAAATGTACATGTAATGTATGTAGTGTTTGGCTAGGTTGCTATTGATTCGTAGGGAGGGAGGGGAGGCTCGGGAGGGCAAAGCGCCATCATGCTTTCCCCACCCCATTCCCCACTTAAATATTTTCTTCTCACGAGCTTTTCACGTGCGTGAAACATATCGTTTTTAGTCGTCGTCTTAAATCTTAAATGTCGAAGTAACAACCTTTTCCGAGTAAACATAAGATATCGTGCTGGTGAAGATGGATGCCAAAATGCCCAAAGCCGTGAAACCTAAGCGTCGCAAGAAGAGCCAGTCGAGAACTGAAGGTATGTGTATTATCATGTTTGATGAAAACCACACATACATGTACTAATATCAAAATAGTAACAAACATATCCGACAGTGAAAGTGACACTGCTCCTAAATCTCAATCTCTCAAGCCAAAAGCTCAATCAGCAGCTGTCAAATCAATCTCTCAAACTACGCCAACTGCATCAGTCAAAGCCCCATCTGTAATTTACACTCCCTTTCCAAATTTTCTCGGGATTTTGTTAACCTATTTCCAGAAACCAACGTTAGTGAAAGACTCGGCTCTCGCTGAAAAGTTCACATCTCATTATCTTCAACGTATCACTACTGAATTCTCTGAAGATCTGGATAAGATCCGTGAAGCGGATGATTTCAATGAGAATGCGTTGCAAATATTGGTACATGCGTTAAAGCAAGGTACGGAAGTTTGGGGGGAGGAAGAGATGAGAAGAATTGTTGGATAGGTTGCGAGTGGATATGGAGATTAAGGAGAAGTCTAAATATGGAAAATTATGTGACGATGACCGAGTTGGTAAAAGACCAGCGTGGATACGTTGTTGGAAGACGATACCCATCCTGATGATGAGAGCAACGGAAATGGGGCAGCAAAGGTCGTGAAATATGAAAACAGTGCGCTTCGAAGCGTTTGAATCGACCGCAAAAAATGGGAAAATTGGATGGTAGTCCCAAGAGATATAGACGAGGCGAGTGGATATGTACAGACAGACCATTGATGGCGTTACGGTTTCGAAAGGAAGTCAAAAGTACCATAATCATATTTCTTTTCGGACGTCGGATCTTATACATGTACTTTTAGGTATCTGCGGATCATAAATCACATTTCCGCAAGCAGTTCATACATCAGATATTGACATCCCCAGTAGTGATCATAACAAAATTTCTAAAATGTGAACCTCCAATATTATTTGACTTCGGTCAGATAAGCGCAAAGTCAAAGAAAAACACCATCTCCCAAATCCCGGGAATAAAATCCGAGAACCGTTCTTATTCCCAGTCGATGTAACTTTTTAAATTTTTGGCTCGGAATCTGTTGGTGTAAGTTAGAGAAACGGGTGAAAAACTCAGACGTGCAACAAAAGATAAATTTGAGCGAGCACCACGTGATGTATAAAATGCCTAGTCGGCAAGGCGGTGATGTGTCTTTTTTCTGGCCAAAGTCTCATATTTTTGATGTCGGTTTGTTATGAGCCTATGTATGATGTCCATGTAGTCTTGAGATCACGAGTATGTAGTGGTCACTGTCGCGCACGAAGTTCCTGGATCAAAACGCACAAACAGCAATGTGGGAAATGTCACTTCTCGAGCTTCCTTTAGTTATCCTGTCAATCGTTGGAATGTTCTACTGTAAAGACCTTTAAGGCATTTATGTTGCCAAAATTAGGAAGAACATCACAAAGATAGAACAGTCCCTGAATTCTAGCAATACTTGGATGTCTTTGGGCGCCTTGTATTCTCTGAAGAAGGGTAAGGGGATACTGACTAGGTGGATAGGAGGTAGCTGGGGATCTTGAACATGTATAGTAATGCTTGCGCGCATGAAGATGATTATGTGAGTATGGATGGGCCGCGGATTAGGTAAAGGTGACGAGTGCTAAAGCTGGGGCATAGAGGAACAATGGCTAGGCCTGGGTCATGGTAATGCAGCGGGGTAGCCAATTCCGGTGGTAGATTTCTGCTGGCTCTCGTCATCTCTTCAATAGAAAATTATGGTTTCATTCTTCAGTCATTCCAAGGCCTTAAGCCGATTTTGTTCAACATATTCACAAGAATCACTTTCACGTTTCAAAGCCAATAATTGATAAATCAAGCATGTCTGCCATAGATTCTGCGTAGCATTGAGTAATATCTGAACTACACCATAGCGTGCGAAAATCTATTCCTTCACATTCGACTATCCATTGATGATAATTTATTTGTTGGCATCATCGAAGATGTAGGTCAAGTGGCAGCGTCCACAGTATTGTCGGTCGTGCATGGCAGCCATGAAGACACCGGCACCACACTGAAGATAAGTTAGTAGCGTTCCAAAATTGCCAGTCATTGTAGGGTAACTTACGTCTGGAGTTGGGCACTCTCTGCGGAGACGCTCGATCTTTCCATCACCATCAACCTTGTAGTACTTCAATACAGCGAGCTTGGTCTTCTTGCGCTTGTGCTTGATCTTCTTTGGGGTAGTGTAGACCTTCTTCTTGCGCTTCTTGCCACCACCACGGAGACGTAACACCAAGTGAAGAGTGGACTCCTTTTGGATGTTGTAGTCGGAGAGGGTGCGGCCATCTTCGAGTTGCTTTCCGGCGAAGATCAATCGCTGTTGGTCGGGTGGGATTCCCTCCTTGTCTTGGATCTTGGCCTTGACATTGTCGATGGTGTCCGAAGACTCAACCTCGAGGGTGATGGTTTTGCCCGTGAGGGTCTTGACGAAGATCTGCATGACTATCTTCAAAGAGGTGTTAGAATTCAATCATATTCAAATTATGCGATTTCGCATTCAGATAGCAATGACATACCTGGACAACGGTTTAGATTGTCTTCCTCAAAGGTCTTGTAGAGTTCGAAAAGAAAAGTTGAACACAATTGATAGGGAATTTCGAAAGTTTGGTTGTGCGCTAAAATGCGTTAGCGCCAAGCTAGGTCTCGCTTACCAGATCACACAATTGAATATTGATAGATGTTGACTTACAAGATTTCAATCCTACGAACGACAATCGCCAACCAACAACCAAAGATTTGAATAATCCGCCAATTCAGTAAGTTTGCAGATATCTTCAAAGTTGATCTCCGGAAAAATTTAACAAATTATTTTAGAATCCGCAAAAATGGTCAAGAAGCGCGCGTCCAAGTACGATTTCCCACTCCATCCATAATTTACGACGAGCTCTTCGAGAAATGATACAGTTATCATGATTATATCAACGTCGAAAAGCATGAAATACTTAGCAAATCAGGAGGCTGATTGATTTTATAGCGGACGTAACAAGAAGGGTCGTGGTCACGTCAAGCCCATCAGATGCTCCAACTGCTCCCGATGCACACCAAAGGACAAGGCGATCAAGAGATTTACCATCCGTAACATGGTTGAGTCCGCTGCCATCCGTACGTTCTGATTATCCCAGATAATTCCCTTTCATCAATTTCGCAGAAAATATGGAACATCGAGAGATTTGGCGGATGAGAGACTTTGGACTTTTGCAACAGATGCTAACACGAATTCATTACAGGTGATATCTCAGAGGCATCTGTCTTCTCTGAGTACACAGTTCCCAAGATGTACCTCAAATTGCAATACTGCGTCTCTTGCGCCATCCACGGCAAGATTGTCCGGTATGTTAATGCTATGAGATGAATCCTTGGTTGAACTGCCAGTAAGTTTGACCCTACAAGAACACTTGGGCTGATTCCCTTTTCTACAGTGTCCGATCCCGTGTTGGAAGACGTAACCGTGCCCCACCTCCCCGTGTTAGATACAACAAGGACGGAAAGAAGGTCAACCCAAACCAAGCTGCCGCTAAGGCTTAGAGTGCTTTAGGTTGGGAACGGAGGAGTTATCGACTGGGTTTTTCGGGATGCATTTTGTCTTAACCAATTTCTAATGCAAAAAGCATTGCTTAGACAAATATGACCTCATTGACTGATGATAAATCTTCAATTAATCTTCTCAATCTTTCAAACATGTGATATTTTACTGGAAACTGCTTTGGTCGGATCTTCATTGTGCATTCAAAATTCCTATGGTAGTAGACAATATGCGCAGGCCCTCTTAAGTACTCCGTATGTGCCCAACTTCTACATGAGAATTTCCGTGCTCAGATCCTGGACAGCAGCTGTTTTGTTCTTCGCCTGATGGCCTGCTCAGAGCATGGTCGATTGGATGATTAGTTGCCTTTGAGTGGACATCAACCATGATCGTGATGCTAGTTGATCATTGCAAGTGCTTGCTCGCGTTTCGTGCATGTACGTGTCAAGACCTTTCTAGAATCAGTTTTGACTACATCTTTTCAGTCACTCTTAGAAATACATCGCTTTCCTTTTGATATTGCTAACATCGCTTTCACCTCAGTGAGCGGTCTTTCTCAACATAGGTATTCATATACAACTCCGAAGCATTAACAGATTTATGCATATCAACCTTAGCAATGTGGTTTGTGAATTCTTGACATCTCCCTGTTCTCTACACAACCCTACATGCAGCACACAGCACAGCTTGGGCATCGCGTCGGAAATCCAACATCTATCATCCAACATATCCAACATATCCAACATATCCAACTCGACGACACAAGAAATGTACCGAGATGAACTCAAA